CAAACCCCACCTCAGATTCCTTGGGAATTTTCCAGGAAAACCGTGGCTGGCAGCAGCTCCAGCCCAAACCTCAAATCCCTGGAAAACAAGGAAAAAAAAAAAACAAAAAACAAAAAAATACGAAGAAAAAGAGGAAATCTGTGAGCAGCACAAAGGGGCTGAGCGAGGAATTCCAGAGCTGGGAATTTTTGGGGGCTCAGTTTGGAAATTCCCGGGGAATTCAGGGAGCTGCTGCTCAGCAAGAGAGCACAAAAAATTCCTTTTTTTTTTGGTTATTTTTTTAGGGAAAAGCACATTCCTACCGCAATAACTCCCAGGTGCCGGGAGGATTCTGTAAATCCCAAGGTTTTTTTTTGGGGGTTTAACCCTTTCCTGGGGGTTCATGGATGGATTTCCAGCAGAAAATCCCATTTTTTTTTTTTTTTTCCCTGTGCCTTCCCCAAACCTTTCCCCCCCGCTCTAATTTGCACTAATATTTAGGGATTTTTAAAGAAAACCGCGATGTCAAACCTCTCTGGTAGCTGAAAATGCCAAATAACGCTCGCAGGGACGGCCGAGAGCCTGGAGGGGAGCTGGGTGGGAAGGGGAGGAAGGCAGGAGGAGGAGGAGGAAGAAATAAAGAGGATTTTATTTTCCAAATCCGTTTTCCAGCAAATTTTCCTGCTGGAAGCAGGAGCAGAGCGGCTCCATCACCACCAGCAGCTGGGAAAATCTCGTTCCTCCCAGTTTAAACCAGCAATATCCATTTTTTACCTCGTTGTGAACTAAAGCTCTGACTTTCTCGCCCTCCCCTTTGAGATTTTTGCGATGCATTTATGTAATTATTATTTTAATTTTTATTTTTTAATGGTACCTTTTCTGTCTTTAACTCGTGTTCGGGAGAGCGAGAGGAGCTTCTGGTGTGTTTGAGGGGTGATTGTGGCGCTGCTGAGTGGATTAATGAGGAAATTAAATAAAATGAGGAAAAAATGAGTAAAAAATGAGTCAAAAATGTGTAAAAAATGAGTGAAAAATGCGTAAAAAATGAGCAAAAAATGAGAAAAAAATGAGAAAAAAATGAGTCAAAAATGTGTAAAAAACGAGTGAAAAATGCGTAAAAAATGAGCAAAAAATGAGCAAAAAATGAGAAAAAATGAGTAAAAAATGAGCAAAAAATGAGTGAAAAATGTGTAAAAAATGAGTAAAAAATGGGTAAAAAATGACTAAAAAATGAGCAAAAATGAGTAAAAAATGAGTAAAAATGGGTAAAAAATAAGTAAAAAATGAGCAAAAAATGAGCAAAAAATGAGTAAAAATGGGTAAAAAATGAGTAAAAAATGAGTAAAAAATGACTAAAGAATGTCTAAAAAATGAGTAAAAAATGGGTAAAAAATGAGCAAAAAATGAGCAAAAAATTAGTAAAAAATTAGTAAAAATGAGTAAAAAATAGTAAAAATGTGTAAAAAATGAGAAAAAATGAGTAAAAAATGTGTAAAAAATGAGTGAAAAATGCGTAAAAAATGACTAAAAAATTACTAAAAAATGACTAAAAAATTACTAAAAAATGAGCAAAAATGGATAAAAAATGAGTAAAAAATGGGTAAAAAATAAGTAAAAAATGAGTAAAAAAGAGTAAAAAATGAGTAAAAAATGAGAAAAAAATGAGAAAAAATGAGTAAAAAATGTGTAAAAAATGAGTAAAAAATGTGTAAAAAACGAGTAAAAAACGAGTAAAAAATGAGATGAGGGAAAGAGTAAAACCCACCTGAATCCCAGTGAAGTTCCACGAGGAGAAACGCTTCCAGATTTCCCGATTTCCCGATTTTTTGGGGGAATATTTGGCTGTTTTGGGGTTTATCCAGCCCTTAGGGATTGCTTTGGGCTCAGCTCCACGCCCCGTTATCCCTCCCAGGCAGGAGGGGCAGGGCTGGGAGCTGATCCCAGCAGGAAAAGCTGGGATTGAGCTGGAGACAGATCCACGCTCGGGTAAGAGCAGCAACATCACAATTCTGGGGGAAAACCAGAAAAAATCAGGTGCGGAGAGAGGAGAAAAATTAAATTTGTTTTGGCACAAAGCCCAGCTGGAGGTTGGGATGGGAAGGGGTTCACCCTGGAGGGTGATCCCTGAATTTGGGGAGTTGGAAAGGGGGGAAAATCGGGAAGGAAAATTCCTTTTTGTGGGATTTTCCGGCCGGTTTTGGGGTGGAAGGGGAACACTTCTCTGAGCTTTCTTTAAAATGACCCCAAGAGCTGGAGGAGAGGGGCAGGAAAAGGAGGAAAATTAAATTGATGAAGGCAAATTTTGATTTTTGGAGAGGGATCAGGCAGGCCTGGAACCTTCCAGAGGAGCAGAAAAAGGAGGAAAATTAAATTAATAAAGGCAAATTTTAATTTTTGAAGCTCTGGGTTTGGAGAGGGGCAGGAAAAGGAGGAAAATTAAATTAATAAAGCGTGATTTTGATTTTTGGAGAGGGATCAGGCAGGCCTGGCACCTTCCAGAGAGGAGGGAAAAGGAAGAAAATTAAATTAACGAAGGCGGATTTTAATTTTTGAAGCGGGATCAGGCAGGTCTGGAACCTTCCAGAGGGGCAGAAAAAGGAGGAAAACTAAATGAATAAAGGCAAATTTTGATTTTTGGAGAGGGATCAGGCAGGCCTGGAACCTTCCAGAGAGGAGGGAAAAGGAAGAAAATTAAATTAACGAAGGCGGATTTTAATTTTTGAAGCTCTGGGTTTGGAAAGGGGTGGGAAAAGAAAGAAAATTAAATGAATAAAGGCAAATTTTGATTTTTGGAGAGGGATCAGGCAGGCCTGGCACCTTCCAGCGGGGAGGGAATCGCTGACACGGCCGGGGCCGAGGGCCAGGGGGGCTCTGTTTTGTTAAATCCTTTTGTCCCCGGCTCTTTTGGGGATGATTTTGGCTCAGCAGCTTCAGCACAATGAGTTTGTTTGCTCAGCCCCAGCACAATCCCATCCCCGGGCTGGGGGGGATTGAGGGAATTTGGGGAATTTTTGCCCACCCTCGCTGCTTGTTACAAGTGTGGGGTGAGGTTAAAGCGGCCAGGGATGCGTTAAATCGCAGAATTTAATTTAATCATTCATTTTGAATTTAATTAGTCACAGAGGGGACGTTAAAGATCAGCCAGGCCCTTGTTATGGGCAGCGACACCTTCCACTGGAATGTATTAACTGCCTAAAAAAGTAATATATAAAAATAGGTATAAACACCTAAAAATAGAGTAAATATCATAAAACAACATCTAAAAAATAAATATTTATATATTTTTTTTTTATTTTTATATATATATATATATATAAAAAATATACCTAAAAAGGTAATATCTAAATATAGGTACAAACACCTAAAAATAGAGTAAATATCATAAAACAATATATAAAATATAAATATTATATATATATATATATATA